AAAAAAAATCGACAGCCAGTTGCAGCACGAATGAAATGGGGGAAGTGGCTGAAAAAGACAACGGCATAGAGTGTAGTGCAATACAAAGAAGCCAAATGTCTAAAAATAACTATTCAACCTACTTTGGTTGAACTTGTCGAGAACTGTGTATTCACTCTGTAACGAAGATGAACAGGAGTAGAGAGCCAATTTCAGGAAAAAAATATCTTCTAAAATAAGGCAGTAAATACTTGCTTATGCTAGACACGTGGGGCTTAGTTTGCAGATCAATTTTCCAAGAAAATGCTGTCTAGTTCGAGATCCCATCCAATTTCATAAGGTCGATGTAAAACAGACCAATTTGTGAGAAAGATAATTTCAAGTGACTAAAGTATTGATCCCTTAAAACCAAATAAATGCTCGTTTTAGCAGTTTGTAACGGTAAAACTATCCTCATCTTCACAAAGTCTTTATTTCAGTGACATATCGCCAATAATTCTTGCTGCGCAACTAAACCAGTTCGAAATTCTGCAAATGCTTCTCAGGAAAGACGCCAGAATTGAGAGGCCGCATCGGTAGGAAAATCTCGATACTCGACGACAATGTGCTCATGTGTTGCAATTTATTTTAGATACTCTTGCATATGTGAAACATGCGATCGTGAGCGACTAAACGATTCGTTGCAGTATTCTTTAAAAAGGATCAACACCTACAGAGCATTGGCAAGTCCGGCGTGGATGAGTTTAACCAGGTGTGTTTTTCTGTTTTTCGGAGAGAATTTCTCTCCTTGTAAATGAGCAACTAAGGTGGATGCTTGATCAGTTCCCTTAGGGAAGTTAAGCAACTCCAGCGTAAAAGAAGATTTTCGAAACTTCATTCAGTCAGCAGACACTTCATTAATGACTAGATTAAAATAGATTCGTTTCATGCATTACGTCATCAATTTCACGGATGTGGTCTTTTTAGAGTTTATCAATACAATTAAAAAGAGTAGAAGATATGTATAATAGTAAGAGAATCTGAAATGTGTGACCATTTTTAGCCCCGATCCTATACTTTCTGCTTTCAAACTCAGTTGGGAATTGCAACAACTGGCAGTTGTAGAGCACGAGTTCAAGGAAACCTATCTTCAAGTAAGGATCTACGAAGTTTAAGATAGTTTTATGTAGAAGTTCTCCATATTTCAGTATGCAAGCAAAATATGCACCTAGAAGTGCTGGAGCAGGTGGAAATTGGATTAAATATTAGGTTATCGTGTTGCGCTATTCTCACTGCATTTAATTCAGTACAACGATAAGCTGAAGCCCTGCTTAAGGAAACTTTTTGAAAGATTCTGTAAATGTTGCCTTGATGTCCGTCTCAATAACATCGCATATGTATTCTTACCGCAACATTTTTTGAAATAAGGTGCAATAGGGCATAACTTCGTTATAATGTCAGAACATTTGTGTTTTTTGAAATGTTTTAAGAAGGCATTTTGAAATTTTTAGAGGGTTACATTACCATCATTTTGCTTGCTCATTCAAACATATCTACATCTAATAATTTAATGTCTTAACTCGCTTTTATTAGTACTGTTCACCTCCGACACCACAATTTCTTTAATGGCTCTCTTTCACTGCATAATCTTGAGCTGTCGTCATACAGTTATCCGCTACAGGTGCAACAAATAAGTTTGCGACACTCTGTAGTTAATATTCTTATATAAAAAACATTACAAGAACATTAGAACGCTTATTTACTTAACTTCAATCTATTACAATATTACTGGCATGTGGCAATTATTGGATATTCGAACCAAGTATTTCACTTAACCTTCCCAACTTTATTTAATTTTCCATTTGAAACCGGCTCCATATTGTCATTATATCAAGCTTAAACTCATATTAGGAGGATTGTAAGAGGGATACGATAGAAAAGTTTATAATGAAAAATAAACAAACGGAAGGAATACTGGCCTGTTGGTCGGAGAATTTGGATATTTCATTGCTTATGTATAATTTTCATTCCAGCTAGCAGAACAATGCAAACAGTTTGCGTGTGACTTAATGAGCCAATGCAGAAGCAGCGAAGAAGTGAGCCTCTTATCGTTTTCAAAATTTTGGCGCAAACGGAACAAAAATATTTTTAGGTGATTGCCGTTCTGAACAAGGAGTGTAACGCTCACGACGAGAATGTGGACGTTTGGGCATCAAAATTGAGTTTGTCTCGATTGAAGCTCGCAATAAAATACGAGCAGAAAGCGGTAAAACTCCTTTAGAAAAATACGTATTTGAGATTAGAAGAAAAGTTAATTCCAGTTCGTTTCACATCCACATTGTCAACAACTCCTCACTTCCATTTGGTATGAAGGTTTTCCTGGAAGGCAACAACGGGGTTCTGCTTGGAACATTATCGTTTGTATTATTTTGATAATTCTATGGCCGGTACTCGCAATTAGCTACATACTGGTGAGTTACGTTTTTCTCGATTTGATTTTTAAAAATTTGTCGCCTAAAATATAAGAAAATGATGTCAGATGCTAATTACACCTCTACACTAGTTGAAATCTAAATCCCATATATTTCCAGTGATTTTTTGGAGCGTGTTTGTGACTTCAAAAGTTTGAAAAAAAGCATCTTCATTCGCGTTTATTTCAAATGTTCTGATTTCAT